TAATTTCTCGTGGATTCAAATGTTTAATCTAACTAATCAAACTTTATATCAATTAAATAATCAACATTTTAATTAAAACATTTTGGATGCTGAACTATTGGACAAACAGAAGTCTGAGCTCAAATGTATTTTTATGTTCCAAAACCATCAGATTGACCAAAGTCATTTTATATCCAATCAGCTTCAGGAACATTTGAAAAAAATGTAATTGTGTTCAAATTTATGTAAATAATGAATCAAAATGAAGGCGTTGACGTCCCACCTCCAATAATTTAATGCAACTCATTACGTAGAAAACTGTTGCAAAAATGAAAGCTGGACATAATTAATGTCTCCCGACAGGAATTAGGTTAGCGAAGCTGCTAATGATACAAACAAGATGGCTGATTGCAAAGATAGCAGGAACGATTTGATGTTGTAGTTCTGGGGATTCCTGAAGCTGAAAACTGGAGCATTTTTATTATGTGTTGGGTTCAGCTGCATCATGCAGATGTGGAAGAATCTTCATCAGCGCAGACTGAGGGTTTGATGAAATTATTGCTACAGAGAAAGGTGATTATAGAGATTTATTACTAGATTCTAGATTCATTCCCAAGCATCAAAACACAAAGCTCCATGATGGAGGTAGCCAGCAAACAAGCTAGCTATGAGGCTAATACGTTAGCAGCATGGAGGCCGGCGGGTTCTTGGACATGAATCCATCTGTAAAGAGACATTTAGCGTGAGGAACGCTCTGTGGCGCTCTGTCTTGACGTGTTCAGAGTCTGTCCTGTCCGTCCTGTCCGTGTCTGTCCATCTGTTTCTGCGTCCTGCAGTCAGACGTGGATCCAGGTCATTTCCCTGCTGCTTCGGTGATAAAGCGACGAGTCGGATTGATGGTGTTTCTGTTTGAGTGGTGAGGGCTGCAGGACGCTGCGGTTCTGGTTCTGATTGGTTTCCATTGATATTAATGATTAATGGAGGATTCATGCAGAGACGGATCCGTCCTGAACCGCCTGATTTAAACTGCATTTAGTAAATGTGAGTCGATGGAGAATCAAATCACAATTTATGAGCGCGTATCGATGCTGTTTTCATATTTCTGTGACCTTCGGCGATCGATCAGGGGGCGGGGCTTCAGAAAACTGCTGATTCTGTTACCTGGGCAGGAAACGCCTTCACACCGCCAGGTCCACATCCTGGTTGCCACTGAGACCTTCATGAGACCTGAATTATGTAACTGAGAGGCTGTTTGACATAAAGACTGAATCTGACCAGAGTTCTGGTGGAGCCGATGGCCTAGTCCAAACCCTGAATAAAGTCTGTAACCCGTCCTGTTAGCGCCTGTCCTCAGTCTGTCTGTCTGTCCTCAGTGTCTGTCTGTCTGTCCTCAGTGTCTGTCTGTCCTCAGTCTGTCTGTCTGTCCTCAGTCTGTCTGTCTTCAGTCTGTCTGTCCTCAGTCTGTCTGTCCTCAGTGTCTGTCTGTCTGTCCTCAGTCTGTCTTCAGTCTGTCTGTCCTCAGTCTGTCTGTCTGTCTTCAGTCTGTCTGTCCTCAGTGTCTGTCTGTCTTCAGTCTGTCCTCAGTGTCTGTCTGTCCTCAGTGTCTGTCTGTCCTCAGTGTCTGTCTGTCCTCAGTCTGTCTGTCTGTCCTCAGTGTCTGTCTGTCTTCAGTCTGTCTGTCCTCAGTGTCTGTCTGTCTTCAGTCTGTCCTCAGTGTCTGTCTGTCTGTCCTCTGTCTGTCCTCAGTGTCTGTCTGTCCTCTATGTCTGTGTGTGTCTGATTTCCTGTCCTGTGAAGTGAAGCTGGTCGGTGGGGGGAGGAGCGGAGCGTGACCTCCGTGTGAGGGACTCGGGGGGTGACAACGACGTGCTTTCTCGTCCATCAGCGCACTAATTTAATTAGCTTAATTACACCGACATGAACCCCTTCTCTCTCTCTCTCTCAATCTCACACACACTTACAGGCTGTGTGTGTGAGAGACTCTTCTTTATAATCCGTGTCGGAGTGCAGACTCTGGACGCTTCGTTAGCGCTCATTAATGAGCTATAATGACCACACATGCATAAATACAGGCCAGAAATCACCAGGAGATCGAATCCAGTGTGTCAATACACACACACACACACACACACACACACACACACACACACACACACACACACACACACACACACAACGGACAACACATGTATATTAGTCATATGGACATAGAGACCAGGGTGGATATGAGTCAGCTAGCTAGCAAGGCAGTGAGAAGGCAAGGTGGAGGTCTAATAAAGTGGAGGGCTAATAAGGTGGAGGGCTAATAAGGTGGAGGGCTAATAAGGTGGAGGGCTAATAAGGTGGAGGGCTAATAAAGTGGAGGGCTAATAAGGTGGAGGGCTAATAAGGTGGAGGGCTAATAAAGTGGAGGGCTAATAAGGTGGAGGGCTAATAAGGTGGAGGGCTAATAAAGTGGAGGGCTAATAAGGTGGAGGGCTAATAAAGTGGAGGGCTAATAAGGTGGAGGGCTAATAAGGTGGAGGGCTAATAAAGTGGAGGGCTAATAAGGTGGAGGGCTAATAAGATGGAGGGCTAATAAAGTGGAGGGCTAATAAGGTGGAGGGCTAATAAAGTGGAGGGCTAATAAGGTGGAGGGCTAATAAAGTGGAGGGCTAATAAGGTGGAGGGCTAATAAGGTGGAGGGCTAATAAAGTGGAGGGCTAATAAGGTGGAGGGCTAATAAAGTGGAGGGCTAATAAGGTGGAGGGCTAATAAGGTGGAGGGCTAATAAAGTGGAGGGCTAATAAGGTGGAGGGCTAATAAGGTGGAGGGCTAACCATCTAGTAAGCAAACAGACAAGGTAACAAGCTAGTTAGCAAGCTAGTAAGATAGTAAGTTTGCAACATATCAAGCTGATAAACAAGGTAGCTAGCAAATAAAATAGCAAGCAAGCTAGCAAGTAAGGTAGCGAGTAAGATAGCAAACGTGCAACATATCAAGCTAGTAAACAAACAAGCTAGCTAGCGCATGGCATGAACATGAAACAATAAGAGACCCTGAATTAGAACCAACGTAGTTTAATGTTTTTATTGCATCTTTTTTAATGAATCTGTTTCTTTTCCAAATCTGGATCCATTTTTAAAAGCTGTCAGCCATTTTCCTCCCACCCAGATGTTTGGGACCCGAGCAGCTCATCCTGGTCACTTTGGTTCCTGAACTGTGAAATAAATCAGACCTTCTGAAGCAGCTGTGCAGTGAGAAGTGAGAAGAGTGAGACGCCACAGTGTCCACCTCACCCTCCGCCTCACCCATCTGCCCCGCTCTGCCCCCATCTGCCCCGCTCTGCCCCCCTCTGCCTCACCCTCTGCCCCGCCATAAATCTGATCAGAGACGTGTCCATTAGCAGGAATGGCAGCTTCTCACTGCAGAGCTGAGATTGATGGATAGAGTTAAATTGTATTAAGCATGTAGTTTAAATATTTAGCACAACCTTATCATAACTGTTAAGGCCCCTCAGAGTAAAATACAGCCTGCCAGCAGCGGCGGCCGAGCATCAGCGGCGGCGGCGTCTGATCCGCCGCCGCGCTCGCCCTGATCGCTCGCCCTGATCGCTCGCCCTGATCGCTCGCCTCCTTTCATGGCCTGTTTTTGTTCTGAACAGCCTCTCTGCGCCGCAGCGGCCGCTTTAAAGACCGCCGAGGTCGCTCTCTCTTCTCGCTGCCCTTGGCTCGGCCCGAGTCACCTGGAGGTAAATGTTTACGAGCGGCTCCTCGTTAACGAAGCCCAGGGCTTTAACGAGCCCAATTAAAACAATGGCTTCATCTGGGGGACGGCGGAGCCGGCCAGAGTTTATTGGAACGGAGATAATGGAGTCTCTAAAGTCTGAACTCTGCTGCCTCAGAATCACAGCCAGGGTTCAACCGCAGAAAATTAACGCTGTTAGGGCCCGAAACGCCCGAACCGCCCGAGAGACGCCACCATCATGTCAGGACTCAGCCGTGTTTCAGCCCCGCTGCAGCTGACCCAGAACGCTGCAGCTGACCCAGAACGCTGCAGCTGGAGTTCTGACTGAACGGAGGAAGACGGGGCAGAGGGTGACTCTGAGACCCAGCTGTTCAGACACTCAGTGCTGATGGTGGTTTACAGATCCCGGTTGAAGACGGCTCGCTCTGCCTGCTGTTAGCCTGAGCCCGGTGTTTCTGCCTGGTTGATTGGATCCAGACTCCTCCTGGACTTTAACCTTGTCTTTGTGTTGTCTTTGTGTTGTCTTTGTGTTGCCGTCGCCCTCCAGTTGCGCAGAAGGTCGTCGCCGTCAGGAAGAAGCAGCAGCTCTCCATCGGACCCTGCAAGTCGCTCCCCAACTCTCCGAGTCACACGTCCGTCTGCGCCGCTCAGGTGTCCGCCGTCCACGTCAGCCAGGTCCGCCGCCGCCGGCTTCCTTCCTGTGTCTTTATCCAGTTTTCACACGGTGAGCGTTGACCCGGCCTCTCGTTGCTCCGGTTCTGGTTGCAGACCAGTAACGGCGGCGGCAGTCTGAGCGACTACTCTTCGTCGGTTCCGTCCACGCCGAGCACCAGCCAGAAGGAGCTGCGCATCGACGCGCCGCAGGCCGCCAACACGCCCACGCCCGTCAGGAAGCAGTCCAAACGCCGCTCCAACCTCTTCACCGTGAGTCTCCCATCTCAGCTTCGGGTCAGACAGAACCACAGGAACAGGCCGGGTTCTGTCACTGGTTCTCCATAAAGCAGTTGACAGTGGCTGTACGGCCGCTAATCTGCTAATAGAACAGCTACGTTTTTTTAGCGATAACTGTGGAAATATTTAGCTTCATCTATGTACAAAATCCTGAATAATTATAGCATTAGCTACAGCTAATGTTTATAATTTATGCTTAGCATTAGCTATAGCTAATGTTTATAATTTATGCTTAGCATTAGCTAGCTAATGTTTATAAGTTATGCTAAGCATTAGCTACAGCTAATGTTTATAAGTTATGCTAAGCATTAGCTATAGCTAATGTTTATAAGTTATGCTAAGCATTAGCTATAGCTAATGTTTATAAGTTATGCTAAGCATTAGCTATAGCTAATGTTTATAAGTTATGCTTAGCATTAGCTATAGCTAATGTTTATAAGTTATGCTTAGCATTAGCTACAGCTAATGTTTATAAGTTATGCTAAGCATTAGCTATAGCTAATGTTTATAAGTTATGCTTAGCATTAGCTATAGCTAATGTTTATAAGTTATGCTTAGCATTAGCTATAGCTAATGTTTATAAGTTATGCTTAGCATTAGCTACAGCTAATGTTTATAAGTTATGCTAAGCATTAGCTATAGCTAATGTTTATAAGTTATGCTAAGCATTAGCTATAGCTAATGTTTATAAGTTATGCTAAGCATTAGCTATAGCTAATGTTTATAAGTTATGCTTAGCATTAGCTATAGCTAATGTTTATAAGTTATGCTTAGCATTAGCTACAGCTAATGTTTATAAGTTATGCTTAGCATTAGCTACAGCCAATGTTTATAAGTTATGCTAAGCATTAGCTATAGCTAATGTTTATAAGTTATGCTTAGCATTAGCTATAGCTAATGTTTATAAGTTATGCTTAGCATTAGCTACAGCTAATGTTTATAAGTTATGCTAAGCATTAGCTATAGCTAATGTTTATAAGTTATGCTAAGCATTAGCTATAGCTAATGTTTATAAGTTATGCTTAGCATTAGCTATAGCTAATGTTTATAAGTTATGCTTAGCATTAGCTACAGCTAATGTTTATAAGTTATGCTAAGCATTAGCTATAGCTAATGTTTATAAGTTATGCTAAGCATTAGCTATAGCTAATGTTTATAAGTTATGCTAAGCATTAGCTATAGCTAATGTTTATAAGTTATGCTTAGCATTAGCTATAGCTAATGTTTATAAGTTATGCTTAGCATTAGCTACAGCTAATGTTTATAAGTTATGCTAAGCATTAGCTGTAGCTAATGTTTATAAGTTATGCTTAGCATTAGCTATAGCTAATGTTTATAAGTTATGCTTAGCATTAGCTATAGCTAATGTTTATAAGTTATGCTTAGCATTAGCTACAGCTAATGTTTATAAGTTATGCTAAGCATTAGCTATAGCTAATGTTTATAAGTTATGCTAAGCATTAGCTATAGCTAATGTTTATAAGTTATGCTAAGCATTAGCTATAGCTAATGTTTATAAGTTATGCTTAGCATTAGCTATAGCTAATGTTTATAAGTTATGCTTAGCATTAGCTATAGCTAATGTTTATAAGTTATGCTTAGCATTAGCTACAGCTAATGTTTATAAGTTATGCTAAGCATTAGCTATAGCTAATGTTTATAAGTTATGCTAAGCATTAGCTATAGCTAATGTTTATAAGTTATGCTAAGCATTAGCTATAGCTAATGTTTATAAGTTATGCTTAGCATTAGCTATAGCTAATGTTTATAAGTTATGCTTAGCATTAGCTACAGCTAATGTTTATAAGTTATGCTTAGCATTAGCTATAGCTAATGTTTATAAGTTATGCTTAGCATTAGCTACAGCTAATGTTTATAAGTTATGCTTAGCATTAGCTACAGCTAATGTTTATAAGTTATGCTAAGCATTAGCTATAGCTAATGTTTATAAGTTATGCTTAGCATTAGCTATAGCTAATGTTTATAAGTTATGCTTAGCATTAGCTACAGCTAATGTTTATAAGTTATGCTAAGCATTAGCTATAGCTAATGTTTATAAGTTATGCTAAGCATTAGCTATAGCTAATGTTTATAAGTTATGCTTAGCATTAGCTATAGCTAATGTTTATAAGTTATGCTTAACATTAGCTACAGCTAATGTTTATAAGTTATGCTAAGCATTAGCTATAGCTAATGTTTATAAGTTATGCTAAGCATTAGCTATAGCTAATGTTTATAAGTTATGCTAAGCATTAGCTATAGCTAATGTTTATAAGTTATGCTTAGCATTAGCTATAGCTAATGTTTATAAGTTATGCTTAGCATTAGCTATAGCTAATGTTTATAAGTTATGCTTAGCATTAGCTATAGCTAATGTTTATAAGTTATGCTAAGCATTAGCTATAGCTAATGTTTATAAGTTATGCTTAGCATTAGCTATCGCTGGTTAGTCCCTTCAGGAAGAGTGATTATAATGTGTCTGGTTGTTGTGATCTTATCGCTAGTGTTTTAGCGTTAGCACAGCTAACGTTGCAGTTAGCGGTGACCGATGGTAACCAGTCGCTTGAGCTAATTTCAACCTTTCATTTGAAGGCTGATGCCGGTGGAGCCGCTCTTACTGGGTTCTACAGGTCCATATTGTGTTTCAACGTGTTAATGAATCTGTAGATGAAGGAGGTTCTGCTGCAGTCGGACCCGGTCTGATGATGATGATGATGATGGTGGTGATAATGGTGTCTTGTGGCTCCACAGTCGAGGAAGGCCAGCGATCCGGACAAAGAGAAGAAAGGTCTGGAGAATCGGGCCGACAGCATCGGCAGCGGGCGCGCCATCCCCATCAAACAGGTGAAGCGCTTTGATTGGTCCGCCTTCATCACAATCACACACTTGACATGAATTAGAGCGCCGGCTCTCCTGGGTCCGGGTCCGGATCATTAGGAGGAGCCGCCGCCCCTCTGCGCCGTCTGAAGGAAGAAAAGAGCGTCTGCGCCACCGGCGGCGAGCTGGACCGGCGAATCAGGCAATTACGGCTCTGCGGCGGCGGCGGCCTCTCGAGTCCGCGCCGCGGCCTCGTTTGTAATCTGAGCGGGGGGTCACGTTCTGAAGAGGAGACGAGGTAATAACCGGCGAAAAGCTCCTTCAGCGCCCGGCGGCTTCAAACGAGCCCTCCTCCTCCTCCTCCTCTTCTTCTGTGGTGCTGCTGCTGGCGTGGAGAGCCTGAGAGACTCATTATGGAGTTAATCATTTCACATGAAACACGTCAGCTTTCATTTCCAACAACAGCACAGCGTCTTGTTTTCACTCCCTGCAACCTGATTTATTCGCTTTGCTTCTGCGGAGCAACAACACGGCCAAAAAACACGACGGCATCATGAGGAATATTCAGATTCCCACTTGAAACATGATGTTTAATAAGCACATTTATTTACAGACCAATTCTACGGAGCAACAACATGACCAAAACAACAGTAGATAATCTATTCTAAAATATGATTTTCTGTTTTATTTCCACTCTCTTTATGCTTCATATGTAAAGCAGTTTATTTCAGTAAGTTCTCTAGCTGTAAATTATGGTATAATAACAAACATCTTAATTGGAAATCCTTAATTGCAGCTGTAAATTATGCAGAAACCGTCATAAAATAAATCAAAACACTGATCTGGTGCCAAAACTTTCTGAACAACTGAAATGTATTTAATTTGAAGCTGCAGCAGAAACATTGTCTCCATCCTGCTGACCCGCCATGTTCTGGACCAGAACCGTGTGTGTTCATTGGTTGATGATGCTGACAGACGCCGCTCCATAATGAGTGTTTAATTCACCGCTGCCAGAAATAAAAGGTGCAGAAATGAGTGCTGCACTGTTCTCCACTAGCAGCTCCTTCATAAGGCTCCTCCGCTTCACCTCCACCTGACCTCCGGCCAACCTCTGGCTGACCTCCGGCTCACTTTGACCTCTGCCTCACCTCCAGCTGACCTCTGCCCCACCTCTGCCTGACCTTAACCTGCGGCTGACCTCTGGCTCACTTTGACCTCCGGCTGACCTCTGGCTCACTTTGACCTCCGCCTCACCTCCACCTGACCTTGACCTCCAGCTGACCTCTGGCTGATTTCTGCCCCACCTCTGCCTGACCTTAACCTGGGGCTGACCTCTGGCTCACTTTAACCTCTGACTGACCTCTGGCTCACCTCTGGCTGACCTCCGGCTGACCTCTGGCTCACTTTGACCTCTGACTGACCTCTGGCTCACCTCTGGCTCACCTCTGGCTGACCTCCGGCTGACCTCTGGCTGACCTCTGGCTGACCTCCGGCTCACTTTGACCTCTGGCTGACCTCCGGCTGACCTCTGGCTGACCTCTGGCTGACCTCTGGCTCACTTTGACCTCTGGCTGACCTCTGGCTCACCTCCGGCTGACCTCTGGCTGACCTCCGGCTCACTTTGACCTCTGGCTCACCTCCGGCTGACTTCTGGCTGACCTCTGGCTCACCTCCGGCTGACTTCCGGCTGACCTCTGGCTGACCTTGAGCTGTAGGATCATCACTCTGACTTTAGGACCTGCTGCTCTCCACATGGGATGTTTCTTCTTTAAATCAAAGTGTTTCTGTGTGCAGCTCTAACCGACCAACCCAGTTATTTCACATAAATCTGGACAGAAATCATTTCAGGTCCTTTGATAAAAAGTGTTTAATCACATCATTCATTGATCATCTTTGTTTTCCAAGCAGGAAAACCAGATCATGAGGTGGAGGATCAACAAACTGAACAATAATTTAAATTAATTTTCTCACCGACTTCAACTCTCGCTCTGTGGTTGCCTAGCAACAGCAGTTTCCAGCTCCCCCAAACGTTGGTTGCCTAGCGACGACCTGTTGATTAGCAGCTTGTAGAGCAAATATTGATGATCAATAATTCAGACGGCTCAGGTCGGTCCAGTGACACTGGTTCAACTGGACTGGTTAACTGGTCCTGACTGGTTTCATGTCAGCTCTCCTGACGGACCGCCGGACGCCGCCGCCTCGTTAGCGCCGCCGCCTCGTTAGCGCCGCTCGCCAGCGACTGGAGGTGTCGCCGCCTGGCTTCGCCTTCGGTTGCGGCGGGAACGCCTCGTTAGGAGAGCGGCGCTCATTAAAAGCGCTCACACACTCTGGCTGAGAGCGGCGCTCTGATCCTCCACTCTCACTCAATTAGAGCCGCAAATGAACAAAACACACCCGCGCCGGCCGCCAGCACCGCCTGCACCACCTGCACCACCTGCACCAACAGCACCACCTGCACCACCAGCACCGCCTGCACCACCTGCACCACCTCACCAACAGCCCACCTGCACCACCAGCACCGCCTGCACCACCTGCACCACCTGCACCAGCACACCTGCACCAACAGCAACACCTGCAACCAACAGCACCACCTGCACCAACAGCACCACTGCACCAACAGCACCACCTGCACCAACAGCAACACCTGCACCAACAGCAACACCTGCACCAACAGCACCACCTGCACCAACAGCACCACCTGCACCAACAGCACCACCTGCACCAACAGCAACACCTGCACCAACAGCACCACCTGCACCGCCTGCACCACCAGCACCACCTGCACCACCAGCACCACCTGCACCACCTGCACCAACAGCAACACCTGCACCACCAGCACCAGCACCACCTGCACCAACAGCACCACCTGCACCACCTGCACCAACAGCACCACCTGCACCAACAGCACCGCCTGCACACACTCCACCCATAAAACACCCAATTACAGCCCACTCACTGGGCTTGGACTAGGACCCGGAGGCCTGCTGCGGCTCCACAGTCACCACTGATTCATGGACTAAATTTCCCAGAATTCAACCTGTGAAGGAAAACTTGGACGTTCTGGATCCAGACCTGGACGCTTGAAGAGGCGTTCAGGCGCAGCCAAAACGCAGGAAAAATGTCCGTTTTGATCTTTGGAGGCTCCCTGTAGCGCCGAGCCTCAGAGGAGCCGCCGGCTGCTCCGTCCTGCTCCGTCCTGCTCTTCATCCTGCTCTTCATCCTCCTCTTCATCCTCTTCTTCTTCTCCTCCTGTGCTGCATTTGTTGACGGCGCGGTCCTCCGACATCTGCTCTGCGCCGCTAATTAAGCGATAATTACCGGAGAGAGGCTGACCAGGGAGCTTTGAACAGCAACAGTCTGACAAATTAATTTGCTGTAAAAACAGCAGCTGAGCCGCCGGGTTGTTGGTTCTACTCCCTCCCTGAGCCGGACCCTCCAGGCGCGTCCCAGAGGACCTCTAATCCCCGTCCCTGAACGCACCGCTGCCTTCTGCCTCGTCGGGTCCAACTGCTGCGTCTTAGAGGCGTCAGACTCACTTCACGTCTCGGTTCATGTGTTCATCTGTTCATCTGTTCATGTGTTCATGTGTTCATCTGCTGGCTGCCTCTGGAAACAAACCAGATGTGTTAAATACGTTTCTAGTGTCTGGAAAATGAGCCTTTCACAAACTGCACAAGGTCAGAGGTCACAATCACAGCCGCCTCGGTCGTACAATGGCTGCTGGAAAACAGAAGTTTGGAGAAGTTCTGATGATCTAAGAATGAAAATGTGATGAGCAGGTTTTGTTTAGGACACAGACACTAACTGGTTGAACTGGTTGAACTGGTTGAACTGGTTCTGGAAGTAAAGCTGAATATTTGTTATTGATCAGCTTAACAATCTGACTTTTCTAATCGATCAGAAGAAAATAAGCTAACATCTGGACACACCGGTAAAGTTTCTGATTGGTTCTGATGGTTCTGATTGGTTCTGACTGGTTCTGATGGTTCTGACTGGTTCTGATTGGTTCTGATTGGTTCTGACTGGTTCTGATTGGTTCTGATTGGTTCTGACTGGTTCTGATGGTTCTGACTGGTTCTGATTGGTTCTGACTGGTTCTGACTGGTTCTGACTGGTTCTGATTGGTTCTGATTGGTTCTGATGGTTCTGACTGGTTCTGATTGGTTCTGATGGTTCTGACTGGTTCTAACTGGTTCTGACTGGTTCTAACTGGTTCTGACTGGTTCTGACTGGTTCTGATGGTTCTGATGGTTCTGATTGGTTCTGACTGGTTCTGACTGGTTCTGATGGTTCTGACTGGTTCTAACTGGTTCTGACTGGTTATGACTGGTTCTGACTGGTTCTGATGGTTCTGACTGGTTCTAACTGGTTCTGACTGGTTCTGACTGGTTCTGACTGGTTCTGATGGTTCTGACTGGTTCTGACTGGTTCTGATGGTTCTGACTGGTTCTGATTGGTTCTGATGGTTCTGACTGGTTCTGATGGTTCTGACTGGTTCTGATTGGTTCTGATGGTTCTGACTGGTTCTGATTGGTTCTGATGGTTCTGATTGGTTCTGATGGTTCTGACTGGTTCTGATTGGTTCTGATGGTTCTGATTGGTTCTGATGGTTCTGATTGGTTCTGATTGGTTCTGATGGTTCTGATTGGTTCTGATGGTTCTGACTGGTTCTGACTGGTTCTGACTGGTTCTGACTGGTTCTGATGGTTCTGACTGGTTCTGATTGGTTCTGACTGGTTCTGACTGGTTCTGATGGTTCTGACTGGTTCTAACTGGTTCTGACTGGTTCTGACTGGTTCTGATGGTTCTGACTGGTTCTGATGGTTCTGACTGGTTCTGATTGGTTCTGATGGTTCTGACTGGTTCTGATGGTTCTGACTGGTTCTGACTGGTTATGACTGGTTCTGATTGGTTCTGACTGGTTCTGATGGTTCTGACTGGTTCTGATGGTTCTGACTGGTTCTGATTGGTTCTGACTGGTTCTGATTGGTTCTGATGGTTCTGATTGGTTCTGACTGGTTCTGATG